GCTCTATGTTCACTGCTATCAGTCTATAGCATGTATTCCTTGTAGAATGACATTTCGTTTTTCAGGAACAGGTTAGCTCAAATGAAACGTTCACTCATGAAAACAGAGACTACTGCGTTTGTCGACTTCATGACCCCATGGCATTACGAAGGCTGACAGCTAACTCTTTTGGATCTGACATTGCGACACTCACAGCTATAACTGCCCTCGGAGTGACGAATATCGGCTTTCGCGTTTAATGTTTGCTTGAGCAGTGCTCATTACCTCAGCTTGCACAATTTTACACGTGGTTCGAATATACGATGTGCTGAAGATGGTACCAACTTGTAGTTTACGTGGAACGTGGCGGCGACGACGAAAACCCATCGAGTGTCTATATAATTTCCATGGTATTAAAAAAATTTTCACTTAATTGTCTAGCAATGGTGCGATGAGCGCTTCTAAATTTTCTCGTGGTTCTCATGTCGCTGCGGCACTTCAATGACCGGAATTCAAGTTTTTTACATTTTTTTATAGAACCCTATGGGTTTAGTCTGAAAATCACTTCTATTTTATAGTAGCGCATCTCTAGTCTTTAGTGGCTGTTCATATTGGATGTGGCATTTTAATAACATTGTGAACATTGCATCATTTTAGGATTACTTTTTATTAGGTTAAGATCTAGTGGCTGTTCAGAACGCCGCCTATGTTTTTTCTTTAAGTTGCTCGGCTTTTACTTTTGATGTTTTAAGGTTTACTATATATGAATTTATGGTAAGTCTGGACACTTAATCAGTATTGCATGCTTAGTAAGAACCACTGAAATGTTTTTTTATCAGAAAGCGAAAATTCTAATTAACAGTGATCTGTGGCCCGAGAAATCTGCTCCAAATCTAAATTTTGATGCTCCAAAACACACCTTTTGCTGTTCCGGAGCTGCTCGAAAACTCCCTTTTACTGCTTCAAAGCTGCTTAAAAACTGCATTATTCTGGCTCCCAAAGCTGCTCCAAAATTCTGTAGCCGGCTTCCATCCCTGCACGATGGGTGTGTTTTGCGACAAAGTTGAATAGCAATATTTCTAATGGGGTGCCCGGAATTGCAGAAAACCGGTCACCGGAAATGCGGTGACCGGAATTCATGATTGCAGTGCGGGGGTCCTATTCACTTGATTCGGCACACAATGTCGCCAAACGAATTCGTGGCCACCAGTATGGATGTGCCATGTCTCAAGCTATCGCCATGCGTTCATGTCATCTTAGACCGCAGCTCTTTTCTTTTATAATGATTTTGTGGACAGTCCATGCAAACAGTACCCGTGCCATCACGTTCCATATGAAGGTTAAGTCGCAAGTACATGGCTCCATGCGTTGTATGTTCTGTGCGCGAGTATCATTACACAAATGCTGCTGAACAAGGACACTTAGGTTTAGATGAAACAAACTGGCAGTGTCCTCCGCGTGAAAGGCACGTAGTGGTACTTAGACGAGCAGGCTTCCCCTGGAATGTATTGTTAAAGGTTTGCGAAAAGTTGATTAAGAAAATGAAACGAGGCCTTTGTGTTGGTTGCAACTTGGATGAGAAGGCGAAGCATAAGAAATTTGCTGTTCTTCCATATGTTCACGGTTTTACCCACCGCCTAAAAAAGGTGGCATTAAGATATGACGTCCGAGTGGCCGTTTCTGCCACCAACAAGTTATCCACTTTATGTGCCAAAGTAGAAAGACGAGTCGTGAATTGGATATATGTGTAGCAATATACATGTAATGATAGACATATTCATAATTATGTATCTTGTATCACTGGTGTTGTCCATCCATATGTTTGGCGCCGCCGCGGTGTTCTTGTGGCTAAGGTACTCTGCTGCTGACCCGCAGGTTGTGGGTTCGAAACCCGGCTGCGGTGACTGCATTTCGGATGGAGGCGGAAATGTTGTAGGCCCATGTGCTCAGATTTGGGTGCACGTTAAAGAACCTCAGGTGGTTGAAATTTCCGGAGCCCTCCACTACAGCGTCTCTCATAATCATATGGTGGTTTTGGGATGTTAAACCTCACATATCAATCAATCAATCAATACTCCATACCTTTGTCATACAATCGTGTATACATGGGTCATACAGGTCGCTGTCTAAATGTTAGACTTCGAGAACATTTTAATTATCTGAAAGGCCACTCTGGCCTTCATCTAGCAGCCCACTGTAGGGAATGCGACTGCGTGCCGCTCTTTGATGATACTTCTGTGTTCTTTTGGCATAAAAACCAAAGAGTGCGCAACTTATTGAGGCTGTCTATATTCACAAGATTTCTGAGTCGTGCCTCAGTGCTCCCTCTGTGGTCATTCATGATAAGGAGTTGAGCTTTCTAGGTTTTGTATGATGTGTGTGCTATTCCTGTTGTTGCCTAGGTTTTATTGATTTGACCCGTATTGCCTTTTTCTCCTCCCCCTTTGCCCTCCCTTGCTTTTCATCCTTTCCTTTATATATTGCCTTGTTCTTGCAATAAAGCTCCAGTTGATAGTCTGCACTTGTCTGTCCTTTTTCTCTACTTCATGTTTCCGTTTTGCGCAGTACATTATGCATCAGTACCAACTTGCCCAACTAGGCATTCTTCTGTAGTGGTAAGACTTAAGGGGTTGCTTCAGTTTTTAGAAAGGGGTTGCTTTAGTTTTTAGAGGGGATGAGTATCTCATACCTTTTTACATTTTTTGTGCTACACTTCACTTACTGCAGCAGCCATTCTTTTTGTAGTATTGAGCTGCTATCCTAGCACAGCCAAGGGGAGAGGGGGTTGTAGGTAGTTTTGGGAGGTTCGAATCCCCACCTAAAATTTTTCAGTTTGCATATGTATAAATACACAAATACATAGATATGGACCCCCAAACATGTATAAAGTAATAAAATTTCGAAGGTGAGTTAACGAATCAGATAGATTCGTGTGGAGACATGCTCAAAATCTACAAGATATCGAGGGCAAGTACAGCCGATACTCCGTTACAACCTAAGAATAAATACATGCTCTGCCCCCAGTACTACAGCACACCTATCATGCATCTATGCACAAATCAATGATTGACGATTTTTATTCTAATATACAAGCACTTTTTCACTGGTAATAAAAATACTATGCATATCATGAATTGAAAATTTGTCGTTTCTTGTTAAAATTTTATGTTTGGCTGAGCAGTGAATTAAGAATCTTCGATGAAATTTTCCAGCAAAACTTTTTGACTGAAAACTAGTGATATGAGCACGTGCCTGTATTGATATGTAATATACCTGAAATACATCAAAAGTCCTGACATTCGCGTTTCATGTTCTACTTGGTGCGTTTCTGTGCATCTTCGCCGGCTCCTAATTTGGACGCGACAGCATTGTAGAGCTCGTTTCACAGAAAGGTCATCGTCATCGTCGTTGGTTGGTCGGGAAGGAAAAATCAGCGTTGTCCTCGACTGCGAAATTGAGAGAAATGTAGATGTTTTTCGTTCTAGTTAGGAATCGCACCCACGCATTCTTAATGGCATATAGCTATTCGACCACAGAGCTATAACACTGCTGGAAGCTGCTTTGAAAAGAAAAAGACTATATGAATGTCATGTAGTATGATATAACAGGAGTATATATATCATATAACATGGCGTGGCAGAGTCGCCGTCCGAAAAATGATTCTAACAAACTTTGTCATGAGGCGTCAGCTTGCAATCTTTCCTAGGCATGCTGCGAGCCCAAACTTCCAACCTCACCGAGTCACTAGGGACTTTGAGGTAATTACCTTCTCCTTGCAAAACGGGTGACCATTGTTGCAGTTCGGCACAACACATTTCTGCCCCATCCTGAAGAAACATTGCTCGAATCCTGAAAAGCACGCGAACAGTCAGTGCCGCAGGCACAGGATGCTGAAGCCACTGAGCCGGTATATTGCAAAGAGATTTGTGACAGCCTGTGGGGCATAGACCAAGGAGTGTTGTGGAAAACTTTCCCTTGCAAGGCCACCCACGCACATGCATGGGTGGCCTCACAAGGTGTGTGGGTTCCCTTGGAAGAGAAAGGCATGGTTGGCCTTGCAAGAGATGTGCTATGCGCCTGACATCGTCTGCTTCAGGTCATTACTAGCCACTTGTTTCAGGTACTTTGCGAACGTAACTCTAGCTGTATCAGTTGGTAACAGCCACTGAAATATCTTAGTTATTCATGTTACACACGAAAGTTTGAAAAGTTTTGCAGCGTACGAAGCGCTATCATGATTTTTATGTGTCGCGTCTATAGAAGCGCATGTAAAAGGTGGCAACAGACCGAAAGCATCATCTGCCAAGTGTTGGCATAAGCCACATCACTCCGTGATGCTATCACCTCGAGCACTGGCACATTTCTGCTCCTCAAGTACTTCTTTCTCTGTTGTCGTTGGTTCTCCAAGTCTGATAAATGGACTCTTCCCCGTAAGGCTACGAAAATCAAGCCCTCTAATTTCTGTTGCCAATGATTTTAAACAAATATGAAAAAGATTGTATGAAAATATTTTGTAAGGTATAGTGTTTCGGTCTCTTGTTTTTGCATCAATATGTATGGTATACTTGTGGAGTAATACTACTTCTTTTTTTGGTTGCAACTTGCATAGTTCTATCTTTTTATTTATTTCTTGCATGTTTCATTACACTTGTATGTGAAATTTATTTCAATTGTCATTTGTTGACTGCATTTTCTGCCATTATGTCACATGAATATTGGGCCTCAGGTGTACTCAGCTACAGTTTTGTTGCTTTTGGTCGCTTCCCCCTTTCGTATGGGGACAATTATTATTATTTTGCTCACTGTATCAATTTTCGTTGAATGCGTGACATATTTGCTATATATTATGGTCAATATTATATAGCTCTTGATCATGGTTGTGAGGCAGTACATGCTAGATTATATTTGGCATTATAATTTTGGTCTTCTTCCTAGCAACCCTTTCCCAGATGGTAGTTCTCGGTTTTAAGGTGGCTGCAGGTTTCTCCCTGAATGTAATTTAGGTGATCTGGCCTTTGCAGATCCTCCACGGGTGGCGAAGTGCGCGGTGATGACTGTTCAGCATCCAAGAAGCCTGAAGCCACCGGTGGCAAGACGGGCAAAGATGACTGGAATGCAGCCAAGGTGCCCAGTGCTGGTGTCAAAATAAGGCGTGGTGAAGGAGAGCCAGCTTCCAGGCAAGACTCTGCTTTTTACGGTGTTGAAGAGGTTTGGTGGTTTGTAAGTAGTTATTGATAAAATATTATCAAACTTGACAGTAAGCATAAAGCGCAGTGTTCCCTTCCTTATAAGCGAATGAATCAAGTGAGGAAATTTTTCAGATGTTAAAAACAATGCTGCCTTAGCAGACAATCGTACCATGCAGAAAACAGCTGGGTGTTTATTCATGCGGATGAACATAGGAAAGTAAAAGAATGACGGATGAAGCCTTTAGAGCTATTGTATTTGTTCAACACAACCTTCATAGAAACCAGCAAATAATGAAGCCAAAGAATGCAGGAAACATTGCTCGTGCAGCCTTAATTAAGCATAGTATAGTAATTGTGATGTGAAGAAAGTAAGGTAGATGAAAACACAACTCACCGAATTTGCACAGCCTTCAGGTTACGCATGAAGCAGCTCAGATTCCATATAATCACAGCTTATCCTCCTAGAGACAATTTGCTGCTTAACTAGCAGTGTTTACTATAGGTCAGTGGTTGGGGTTTAAGGCCATCTGCCATCACCACCAAGTGCCGCAAGAATCTCAGCGGCTGGCTGTGCACACTTTCCCAGTATATGGAAAAGCTGAGCTTGTGGGCTGTTTAAAGCTTTCCGACAACTATTCTGGCAAAATTGTGAACGGTAATGATATCTTGCCGACTCGAACTTAATGTCCACCCAATTTTGTGGGTACCAAGTAAAAATTCACTTGATTGGGTTCTTACCAGATGAAAAAGCTCTGACATGCCTCTATGTGGACAAGTGCTGTTCGCCTTCGTAAAATTGAAATTTATTCTCTTGGCAGTTTTTTTCTTCTGAAATTTAGTTTTACTGGCAACTAAGGAACCCTGAAATGTTTTTTCTGATTTTGTGCAAGAGAATTAAACTAATGGAGCAAGCGTCTTGCATAACAATATCTGTGTAGTGTTTGCAGTTTATCACAGGACTTTCCAATCACCAAAGATCACAGTGGCTCAGCCATACAGATTTCACTCACCCACTTTCATTTTACGAAGCATTATTCAAATATCATCAACTGCTCTGATTTTGCACAAGCTACACCACTGACCATTTTTCTAACCTATTGTCGACAAATTAGTAGTTGAAACCTTTTATAACTAGCTTTTTATGATGAGCAGTCACTGAAAGACATAACGTTATGGCAATTTACTACCCGACTATGGGACCTGTGGGGAAGTATGGGGGGGTGTTAGCACCCTCACAAGTCGTTTGCACCTCATGGCACACACATGCGTCGAGCATAGGTCGCAGTTAGGGTTTATTGCTGGGGAAGTGCTACAGTACTTGCACGCAGTCTTCACCATCATCATCATTATGCTTAGCGCAGTAGTGTCAGCAGTCACGCCTGGCAGAGGCGCTAGGTGGCCGGAAAGAA